TGAACGACTTTGGCGAAGTCTGGGCTAAATTTCTTTTGTTCTATGCAGCTGAGAGTTCTTATTTCCGCTTCAGACGAGTTACCAGGTTTAAGGAACCTTCAGGTAATACTCTTAACGCCTAGCTTGTAAAATGCCGATAGCCGACATGTCATGTGATAACACGAAAATAAAAAACCGGTCACTTGACATAAACTTGCACCGGTCATCAAAGAATTCCTTAATCAAACAATCGGATTAATGTTTAAAAAAGCAATTTATTCCTTGTCTTTCGTGCTACTAACTATGGAATCAGAAGACTTATTTACCATCAGTTATTTACGGCACGGCAACGGTATGGGCTTAAGAGATCACGATATTCCATGGTTATGTTTTATCAAGATATCAAGTGAATTCACGTTAGGCCAAAACTGAAATAAATGGTTAGATGCTTTATGAAACAGAAATGCTTCTCATTGATTAGTAAGAGTAAGCAGGTAAAAGTGACTGCCCGCATATCAGCACAGAAAATAGCGATGTCAATCTCAAACGCATAGCCACCAACCTTGGGCTTCTTGTAGAACCCGGAAAGGTAGAACTTGACCACGTTCTTCATGCGCTTGTATGGATCGTTGTAGCTAGCAGCTCTAAAATATGCCCTACGTGCTGTAAACATGCATCCCGACCAAAAAACCACTTAATCGGCAAGCAAGTCCACGTGGTAGTAGTAATCGGCCAACTTTTCCAGAAATGATCGTGGTTCCAGAATGAACGTTGGCAGTACGACCTTAGACAAGTCCATGCCGGGTCGGACCTTAAAAACGTTTGTCAAATTCTAGTTGTGTTTAAGATGCGGCAAGACGCTAAGTTAAATTTTAAAACAAGAATCTGACCTGCTTCATCAGTGACCATATTAGGCTTTTGTTTTCGTCGGCGAACTCTTCAGTCTGCTCTGTTTCACCAGGCTGAAACGAAAAATAAGTTTTTTTTTAAATTTTAATAATACAAACATGCCTAAATTAATGAACAACAACATGCATGACGATGATGATGCATGCTGATAGAGAAACGGTTAGAATAGCATATTCGAAAGTACGCATATGCTTAGTCTTATTGTTTAGATTATCGGTCCTTGGTAAAATTTCGATGTTTATTACCCATTAAAGTAAGTTCGTCACTACTACTACCATTATTATTGCTACTGATAAAACAACATACGTATTCTGAATAATTAAAGAAATGACGTCGATTTAGCAACTATTTTTCTGATGACTGCTTAGCCGCTGATCAAATCTTCTAAAGATATATGGCACAAACTGCTTTTTGTGCCTCTTAATCACCGTTCTCTGCCGTAGAATACAAGAGCTATTAGGTCAAAGTAACATAAAGCCGCGACCTGCCTAGATAGTCCTCTAGACATTTAGATGCTGCGCGCAGTGCAACTCGATTTAAAGGAGATATACACATATTAGCATATCTGAAGTGCGAATGCATTAATATATTACCATGATCATTTGTCGTGATCTCCTGAGAAGGTATACAGATGTAAATGACCTCATATATATTATCCTGCGTTACTTGACATTTCGAAAATCTTAAAGTTGTTATAACATATGAAATGCAATACCATGTTATTATTAGTATATAATATCGTTATGCATTTTGCATGAAGGCTAAGTAATGCCAGCAAGTGGCCGAACTCTACATGCTATGGCAACAAAAAGTTTTGTGACCGGCGCGATTCGCCGCTGAATACCAGCTGATCCAGGTTATGAGGCCAAATGTTTTGTCAAATGTAATTATTCTTGCTAATTTAAAAGAACATTGAAAATTCATCAATGGGAGATTTAAATTAAAACGTTGTATTTTATGTGTTAAAAAACCAATCGCAGTACCCCCCCTAATGAAGGTTATAATTATGACTGAACACCCATTTTCCGCTATTCTCTATGGCCAATCGTTCCACTTCGCTACATTAGTGTACCGAAACAGAAAACCACCAGACAGGTCCATGGCCTTTAAAACCTGGTGCAAAACTGAAACTTGAAAAGATGTGCCGCATTAAAAGCAGGCTATTTTACAGACAAACCTGTCACTAAACAATCTACATATTTTTTACAAGAGGAGGAGTTAAAAAAGTTAACTCCACTTTGTTAACCCCGTTTTCCTTGTAAAAGCAGGCAGAATCGCTATCATTCCACCAGGCGGGAGGGGGCATCTTCTTACTGAAAATTAGACCCTTGGCCTAAACCTTCCGTGTCTTCATAATGTGTATAAGTAAATGCACACCATCAGAACGACATCCTGCTTTGACGGAACGTAGACCGTCTCTTCGACAGCTTCGGACGCTTCGACTTCAGCGTCACTGAACTTATCGTCGTCACAGCCTAAATAGCTTGAAATCAATCACATGACGACGACATATACTAGTGGTGTAAATCAGAGAAATCATGTTATGTATCCATACCTTTCAACAATCACCATATCATCTTACTTTACCGCCAATCTGTCTAACATCGTAATGATCAATTGTGTTTGTTAGCACTGCAGAAAAACAATACATCAAGTCTTAAACTAGAAGAAGAGACTGTCATCAAAAACATAATCTACAGACGATTCTGAGATGAGTAAAAGAATGCTATAGAGATCTGTACAACGATGAAAACAGCAACAGCCTAGGTGACGATGATGAACCTGAAGATACAAATGAATCTGAAGAGTTTTTAGATATCATACCCTATATCTGCGATAGGAATTCGACGTGATTCGAATTCGTACTGTCGATAAGAAACACTAATTTTTATTTATTATGTAATTACATTGAGCGTTCTTTATTTCGTGCTCGAAGTTACCTACACGTTTTCGCGACACAAATCCTATCGCAGCTTACGCCGAAAAAAATTCATCACAGCCATTAATGAGTTAAATTTCTTGTAAAAGATTGATTCAAGGACGAAGCGTATTTTTCAAATAACTACAAAAATGATTTTAAAGGCAATATATAATTGCGAGGGAGACAATGGCTTTGATGGGGTATAAACAACACGTTTTCTGCCCCGGTCTACTGTGGGGACAATGGAAACAAAGATACGTTAAGACAGTACTGCACGAAACATCAATTTAAAATAAATATTGTATAAAATAAACAATATATATATATATATAATTTATAACATAAAATATAGAAAATAATAATTCTCTGGCAGAAGCTTACTGTCTTCATTGTATTGCTTATCACTGTCGCTTCCGGCCACTTCGTCTTTCGACC